TATCATCACTGAAAATTTCAGCGCTCTAGCTTAAGCCGTTTTTGAGTTCCATCGCAGACAAGGAGGTCCTCTAAATTTTGATAAAAGGGCGATAACTTCCGACAGGAAGTAAATATCACTTAACGAAATTGCCGGAATTAACTTCAGATGTCAACGCATCTACCATGAAAATTTGAATAAAATCGAACGAGCCATCTCCGAGAAATCGTCTGCACAAATTTTGTAAAAAGAAAAAAGAATAATAATAAAGGTAAAAAAGAAACCGAAGAATAATAGAAGGGTCTTCCGCTGAAGACGGAAGACCCTAATAATAAAGGTAAAAAAGAAACCGAAGAATAATAGAAGGGTCTTCCGCTGAAGACGGAAGACCCTAATAAAGGTAAAAAAGAAACCGAAGAATAATAGAAGGGTCTTCCGCTGAAGACGGAAGACCCTAATAAAGGTAAAAAAGAAACCGAAGAATAATAGAAGGGTCTTCCGCTGAAGACGGAAGACCCTAATAATAAAAGTGAAAAAGAAACATAAGAATAATAGAAGGGTCTTCCGCTGAAGACGGAAGACCCTAATAAGAAAAAGAAACAATACAATAATAGAAGGGTCTTCCGCTGAAGACGGAAGACCCTAACAAGCATTCTGAAAGTATTGCATTAGCAATACTAGTCCCCTACCGGCAAGTGTAATCTGGTTCCTGTTAAAAATTGAAAATGCCATAATTCCGTCAAAAATCAATGAAGCGGAACGAAATGCAAATTTGATCTGTAACTCATCAAGATACGTTCACATGCCAAAAATCAGATCAATATCTGTAAGCGTTTAGAAAAAAAGTTCGGAAAACCAAGTGGGACAGACTGACAGACAGACAGACAGACGGACGGACAGACTCAGAGGAAACCTATAGTCCCCTCCGGTTTCACCGGTAGGGGACTAATAACGCTCACAGTTGCCGCATTGTGCACATAAATACATGTTTTGTAAAGGAATTAATTTAATAGCTACCCAAGATGCTTGTTCGCCTATATTCTTTGTTATTTGATGTATAAAACTGTTTTGTGTGTGTGTGTGTTTTATTAACTCTTTAAAATTTTGTTTTAAGCAAATATCAAGTATACAGGTGAAAGAGTCCTACGTTTACCGTATATACTCGCCTATAAATCGGTTTTTTGGGAGTTAAATTTTGGTACAAAACTCTATGTCCGACTTATAGGCGAGTCATAAAAATGGCATTTTTCTGGACGGCGAAATGCAGTATTTTATAAACATTTCCGACGATAGTCTGGATATATCATATCATTATGTATTCTAAGAATATACATAAAGTACAAGTATTTACATATTTTAACAATTTTATTTTTATTTTAAGTGTGTAAATATATTACTTATTTGTTTAATGATTTAAAATTAAATACCGGCATCATTTTTAAAAATATTGATTGAAACCAGGTTAAAACATCACAGCATTGATTTGAAATTGTCAACCGATTCTGGCAAAAAAAGTTGTACCGACTTATAAGGCGGGTCATTGGCTAACCCCTCCAAAATAACCTAAAAAAATACAACCGACTTATAGTCGGACCGGCCTATAGGCGAGTATATTTAAAAATTCCTTCTATAAAAAGAACAATATAGCAAAAATTTCTCCCCCAACAGAAAATGAGAAATAGAAAGTATAGATTTGATGATCCTTTTAGATCTTGATATAAATAATATCTAAAACATTCAGTTAAGGGATTCTAAAAACAATACTGATATTTTGTTCATGAAAAAAAAAGCTGATTGTGAAATCAGCTATATAAACTTATGGTTTCAAATTTGATTTAATAGTTTTATCTGGTTTACATGCTCTGTAATAACAATGTGTGGCCATGTTTCTTTATAAAATAGCAATACGTTTATAGGATACGTTTACTGTATGAACTAGACAATGATTTATACATCTCTACCCCTCCCAGTGCACATGCCCCATATATGGACAAAACACATTCAAAACCAATATATAAACAGGCCCGGACCAAGTTTATAAAATGTGGGGGAGGGTTAACCCTCCCCTAGCCCAGAAAAATTTTGTAAATGGGTATCGTTTTCGTCGTTCTGATGTACATGCATTCTGGATGTCTATTTTTTTTTAAAATATCAAATTAAATATCAAATTAATAGAATATATTCAGTCTTTTGGAAATAAATATGATTTTTTCTTGAGTATGGAACGGGGTAAAATAAATTCCATGTCCAGTTACAAACATTGAATTTTCTCTTCATTATATTGTCTTTGATATTTTTCTTTCGCCTCTGTCATTTTGTAACATAGTATCCTTTCCTGTGAATTCACAGTTGATCCCTTCTGAACCATTTTAAATAAGTAAATGATTTTGAGATTGCAATTTGAAGTCTAACTCTAGATTTTATATCAAAATAAATAAATAAATAAAAATAAAAAATAAAGACACTGAGACAATTCTGTGTCGTGGTGGTTTATTTACTCTCGCTTTCTCATAACAAGGAGTAATTTTTTAAGACTCTGCGCGAATGGAAGGAAAATCGATAGTTTTGCCGCTCTTTTAATACTTTTGACAGTGAAAATATCATAATAATTAAATGGATAATACATAGTTATTGATATGAATTATACCGATGAAAATTGGCACGAATTTGATCAACAAAAGCTAGCGATATTCTTCATTGAATCTCCATTTAATTTATGAATAGATACATGAGTTACACACTTTATATTTGCAAAATGGTATTTAAAAAACATAAAATCTTTACTTTTAGAATAACATTGCCTATAAACTTTGTGAACAAATGAATATTAAAATTTAGTCTGAATTCACGTATCGGCATGAGCATCACTGAAGATACATAATTTGTCGAAATTCGCATCTGGTGTAGCAAAATTGGAACTGTATATGATTAACATTCTGACCCCTTGGACGAGACCACTGCTGTTGGATTGTTAGTCCGCGAGGGTCTCTACGGACAAGTAGCGAAGTAGTTCCGTACTAGCTTGAAAATAGGTATATCTATGTAACTGCTGTGGTAAAAGTTTGAAATTTATTCTAAAAAAAATTTAAGGATTATCTCCCTTATGCATAGCTCTCTGATCCTTCTACGTATTTTGCTATATTTGGCACCCCCTTTTTCAGCTCTTCAAAGCTGTTTTTTTTTAAATTTTATTTTAATATTTAGGATTCCTACGTTTCGGCATGAGCATCACTAAGGAGACATAATTTGTTGATCATTAAAATTGGTACCGTGTAAGATTTATATTAATCTGCATCATCATATTTTTATCCCTGTTTTTGGATATTTTATTCACATAGAAACACATAAAATTTTCATGTTGATAATGATTTATAACATGTTTTTTTCCCATTTAGATCAATTTTTCACATAGATATTGTACCTTATAGCGATTTAATTCTATCAAATAAATGTAACTAAATGTCATCCTTATTTGCCATCAATGTCTTACTCTAGCAAAACATACAAATATGAAACAGAAGTGTCAGCTTTGTGGGGTCGTAATTTGTGTTCAATCTTCGAGTTCTGTTATATAAAAAGCAACTATCATTCATCCTTCAATAACCAAATTTGGCTTTCACGTACATAAACATCTAATGGTCTTAAAAGTGTTAGTTGAAAGAGGCAAATACATCTGATTATTATTAGCGAATAATTATCTGACATGTCTTGTTATATAACGAGCGATCTTTTTTCTAAATCAACAATTCATTTCAATTAATTCAGACTATTCATTTTAAAGTATTTGTCAAAGCCGATAAGAATGCTATTTATTATCTTTATTTCACTATTTCTTTCTTTTATCATTGAAAATACATTAGTATGTTTTAGGAAACATTAGTATATGTGAAACAAGGCAAGTAGTATCAGAAGGAGGGGATGGTTACCCCTAACCACTTTTTTCTAAAAACAAGACCTATAACAATTGAAAATGTTCGGTGAAAGGCTTATTCCCCCCCCCCCTTTTTTTTTGGTTTTAGTATAGAACATGTAAAAAATCATTGTAATTTTGAATGTATTATTAAATTGGACGTGAAAGAAATTTGAAATTTTTTTCTAGTGTATGTTGTCCTGGTTGCGTCTCCCCCCCTCCCCCCTTTCAAACATTACTTACCTGGTATCAGTAAATAAATAAACACTACTTCATGACTACGAGGGGAACAGTCGAACTGTTGTCCCGAGGTAATGGGGGAAGACCTGGGAAACTGTTGCCCGAGGTTTCCAGGTCTTCCCCATTATCGAGGGACAACAGTTTGACTGTTTATCGAGTTGTCAAGAAATAAGTGTTTTATTACCTAACCTATTACATAATTTCTTAAAGTAATGATATAGACACATCGCCAAAAGTTTGCATTATTTCTTTGTATTATCATGCACTTATAAATATTGATGTATACATGTTTTGTTAGTAAAAAATATAATGATGACTCGAAATCTAATTCCCGGCTATCCGTAATCCTCTAGATTTTACTTTTATATTGGTATGATACGTGAATGGACTAATCCCCGTGTGTTAGTTCAGTGAGCTAATCCCTGCTTTGAAATCACGCTATCTGAATCCTCTAAATTTTACGTCTGTATCGGTATAATAAAACAGATAAAAGTATATCATTGCGTGGGTTAGCAAGATTCCAGTTCCTCTCGACCAGGACTATTTCCCGAGGCGAATACTGTTTCATGATGTGCAATAACATTAAAATTAATCAGGAAACAGTTCAAAATGCCTAATTACAATTTATAACTGTTAATATAGTTTTTTCAGAATATAACTTTGGGAAATACATCCCAACAATTTACAATAATTTACAATACATAGTAGGTTAGGTAATAATAAATTTTCTTTTCGTTTCTATCAAAAGCGTCACACAAAATGTTAATACATATGCATTTTATTCTTCCAATGAACCTAATAGTTCATTGACATATTATTATGCAATATATGTATATTAGCATAGAAAGTATTTTATGTTATTTTATTCCTTTATAAAGAGCATACATTTTTAATCAAAACAAATAGACTTGATATGAGAGTGATACAATATCTTGTCATTATAGTCGCAAAAATGTACTATTTGTTTCTTCTGGTCATCATTTGTGATGAAGCAAAGTCTGTGCCAGATCGTATTGCTCCACTCCAAGGATTCAGCCATTTACTTGACCCATACACTCCATTTAAGTAGGCTGAGTGACATTTTTTAAACCACCAACCACCCTCTGTATAATCACGGAAACAACGTATTGGGGGAGAGTGATCCGGGGTCTTAAACGTTTGATTATTGATAGATTCCGTACTGTGTCCTACAATGACATAAATGGATTAGGATGACAACTGAAAGTAACAATTATTGCACCATTTTTTTAAGAAGAATATTTCGGATTTTAAAATTTTAATTTGTGCTTTTGTCCAAAAAAATTATCGAAAACATCTTGATATTTCATGTAAAGTTTATTTTATGCAAGTAATTATATTGTACTTAATGCTAACTTTCAAAATTTTATGGAGAATTTCAAGGATTCATTCCCCTTTTAAAATCATCCGAAATATTTTTAAAAAAGAAAATGGTGCAATAATTGATTAGACAGAAAGCACAAATAAATAAATTGACAACAATAACATTTGTCATATCGTTAAAAAATGGGGTATTATCATATGGCTTTTTTAAGCCATTCAAGCAAAGAGTAATAAAGGAAATTTTTAATTAGGTAAATGAGTTATTTTGGTTCATAGGAAAAAGTGTATGGAACGGTTTATTTAAAAAATTTTAACTCTAAAAATTATAATCATCCGATAGACAAATACAAATATTATTTAATTCAATAGCAAGAAAAATTAGAAGAAGTTTTTTTTTTTTTTTTTTTTTTTTTTTTTTTTTTAAAAAAAAAAAAGGGATCCACATAGTTTCACTGGAAATTGACTCATCATCCCTAACACGTCATCTATAAATACATAAATACAGTTATCACGGCTGCAATTATGAAGAATCAGTATTTGTCAAGGCAACCATTTTAGTCAATATGCCAGAAAAATCTCATCATGTCGAGTTAGTTATCTAAACAAAATATGATCATAGCTTATCTTGACTAGACTAGAGAGAAGTTGGCATATCTTGATAAAACCAGCAAGTTTTCTTGACTTGACGAGAGAGTTCTCTCGAATTGACGCGATATCTTATGTAGACAAAATTTATAAGGATAGTATGGTGGCATATTTATGCCATCCAGTAAGTAATCTTGACTTGACGAGATAGTAATCTTGACTGGACGCAATATCTTACGTTGACAAAAATTATTTATCTTGGTGACATAAATAAGCCACCATAGGATAGCATTAATATGCAACCATAAGTTATCTATCATAAAACATCCATTGATTTATCGAGAACCTTCAGTAGGCTCCCATCGAATACTGAGACGCAGCCGAGGATAAAAAGGCCTTGACACAATTGCATTGTTAAGAATTAAAATTCCCATGTTTATTAATAAATTACTTGCATATGGCGTTAATGTCTTAAAGCTTATTCGATACGCAAAAACATGTTCTACGTACGAACAATTTCTAAAAAGATGCAAGCTATTGACAAACAAGTTGACGAATCTAGGATATCAACAGTCCCGTTTAAAGTCATCATTTCGCAAGTTCTATGGTCTTATCAGTGACCTTATTAGAAACTACAATATATCATTAAGTCGAATGCTGACTGAAGTTTTTCAGATCAATTGTTAGAACATTATTTTCACACTGAATTGTCTATGGATTTTTCAGTTTGCCCGATCATGACGAGGAGCACACGGCGGATATGACTGATCTGCAAAGGATGCTTACTCCTCCATGGTAGTTTATCCCACCTCTACTTTTTTCAAAGGTCCGTGTTTGCTTTGCCTCCGATTTGTATTGTTTAAATTGACTTTTGAGCTTGAATACTGATCGTTATCTCCACATTTCATTCAGTTTAATGAATTAAACCTAATGAATATTCTAAGAATTGAATGACAAATGTTATTCTTCTTTACACCTCGTCAAACATCTATATTAGTACAGTAAAACTCGCTTATAGCGAAGTCCTGGGGACCTGTGAAAGTACAGTAAAACTCGGTTATAGCGAAGTCCTGGGGACCTGTGAAATTACTTTGCTATATCCGTAATTCGTTATATCCGTATAAGGAATCCATAAAATTTATATAGCTGGGGATCCAAGAAAACTTCGTTATATCCGTGAATTCGCAATATCCGTGTTCGTACTAAACGAGTTTTACTGTAAACAGAACATGAACATTATTATTGTTAATGTTTACGTTTAACCGGGTTATTATTTCAATACATTTGCTGTTCAATTTGTTTACTCTGCACTCATCACTGAGCACGGACTAACAGTACTGGAGAGTTACTTTTGGTGTCTCACACTTCTATTCTGAATTTTCTGGATTACAGTTTTAAATATTTTTTTATGTAATGAAAAACAATCTTTCTTCTTTTCTTAAGTATTACAGATAAAATTTACTTTTTGAAAGTGCCAGGATAGTAGTCCTGATATTATACTGAAATTATAGAAACTGTGAACTTCAAATCTGTGTCCAAGCCTCTTTAAATTGTATTTGAGGGGCAAGTTTCAAGTAGTAAAATTTTTATTGTTACCGTGAACTACTTGCTATATTTATTTTGTTACAATAATTGGTAAGCGCCATAAGAACACAATAGCAGCTTGGGTAATTGATGTTAAAATAATTTTAAAAAAGACTGAAGTTTCTTTAGATATCCAACAGTAATTACAATTTCAGAATTGCCCTGATTTCTACAGATTGATCAATATAACTCATCACCTGCCGTTCCGTTGGTAAAAGGTCCCAGACGTAACCTATAATCATCACCAGCGCCAGTGATCCGGAAGCCTGAGTAATATTGGAAGTAATGGCGTCCATTTCTATGTTGTAATTTAACGTACAGGGAAGATGAGTTCGACGTCAATGCATTTAATGCATCATTTCCTAGAAGGAAAAAAATATAGACGATATAAGAGAGAGAGAGAGAGAGAGAGAGAGAGAGAGAGAGAGTTATAAGGGTTTATGTGTAGTCTCGTCCTTAAATTGTCTTTCAATAGTACTCTCTCTTTGATTACTCAAAAGAAGGTGTTTCCTGTGAATTTCCTGTGAATTTACATCACAATTCGAAATACCAAAGGAGAAAAAGAATCCTGTATAAAGACTCTGCTACAAACAAAATGGATGCATGGTCTGGTAGTTATGTTTGGTTAAAAATGATGCAAATAATCAAATAATTCCGAAAATAGATTCTCTATATGTTCTTAATTCTCAATATTTGCCGCAAAGGTTCCTCATAAATTTATACATGTGTTCACTTTATAGAGCATGATTCTAGAAACGAAAAAAGTTTGATCAATCAAATCATGATTCTAGTTACAGTTCTCTGACAAACATCGCCCTACATGTAAAACAACTTAATATTCATCTTAGATTTAATGTTACATATCACTTTTAAAGGTGAGAATAATTACAAGACTTAATGTTTTCCCGCAAAAAGAAACGTTTGTTAACCAGGAAAATAAACATCCTTTTCAAAATTACTATAAAGAATCAATTTGAAGTCCATGAGAAAAACAAGTAGAAACCTCTGACAGCATGGATGTGAAGTTTGTTTTTTTTAAACTTGAATATATTTGTTAGTATGCATCGTTGTCTTTGCAAAAACCAGAAAAATCATATTTTGATCGTGCATTGAATGCAGCTCTTCATATGTTCGAACACACAGTTACATGTGTGCTTGTTAAAAAATAATACGAATTAAGCATTTTCAATGGTACATATTTCTAAGCAAAACAAGATATGTTCTGAGTTTTACACATAACTTGACATCTTATAATGCATTCTGCCATTTCAATAATATAATTCTTTTTCCAGAAATACCAAGTAATATAGACATCTAAAGACATCTCTTTTAATTCTGTCTAAATAGTATTTTGTATAAAAAGATTTTTACATACCTTCACAAAACACAAAGTAATATATTATTCGACAATTTAAAAAAAATAGAAGTGAAATAATCTATAAAAATTTTGCCTTCTTTGTACTTTTTTGTAATTCTTTGAACTTGCATAAATTTACAGCATTTTAAAATTGCAACAATAAAGCAATAGAATTGATGAAAATAGTGCTCTTACGACCCTCTAAAGTTAAAAAATGTGACTGATAGCTGCTGGTTTTCTATAAGGATTTTCAAGGCCGGTCCTGAAAGGTAACTTAAACTTACAATACATAACGTATAATAATGGTCTGGTTGTAAAAACTGTCAGCAATTATATATTTATTTAGTATTTTCACTGTTTTGAATTAATCAGTCCAGACTTCAGCTACATCCATATTAAAGATATCTATAAAGCTGTTTTGTTTTCATTATGAAATTTTAGAAGTTAATGTTAATAAACAAATCACAGTTGAGAAGATACATTTCTTCGTAAATTCGAGGGGGGTGGGGCTGGTGGGGGGATTGGTGGACGAACTCATTAACGCTACTTGAATAGCTTACATTTACATTTACGTATACTCTCTAATAGAAAAATACCATACATAGTCTAGTATATAGTAAACTAAAATTAACTATAGTCTACTATAGTTACCTATGGTAAACTATAATAAATCAAAGTTTCAAAATTATTTTATACGGTAGCCATCTATACTTCCCCTTCTTTTAGTATGACCAATTGTTTTCTGCAGGAAAAAATATCTTCCCGTTCATATTAACCCTCCACTGATATACAAGTATTGTATATAATTCTTAAAGAAATACTTGAGGGCAAAGGAATTCCTTTTACACGCAAAATCAGCTAATTAATTATCTTTTAAAAATGCGTATTTTTAAAAGAGAAAGCGTTTTATATCCTGTCGGCTGAATGACTCTCACAACCTTGATATACATAAGCCTCTTATAAACTTGATGGAAAAAAAAACTGTTAATTTTCTAAGTCTATCATTATCCTTAAATTTCATTTGTATTATACCATGCATATATAATTGTAATTTTTCACTCGTGAGAATTAAAGTCTAAATCTTGAATGTACGTATCTCAAAAAATATTGCTCATGATATTGGTTTATAACCATATCCAGCGAGGAGGGGATGACTTATCATAATCCAACTGATTTTGTGGCTAAAAAAGGAAGATCCTAAATATTCCTATTTATTCTCACGTAAAACTATCATCTTCTATTCTGACACCACCCTTCCCTGGGCGGTCATTATTTGTATATATAGAAAAAATAACTTACCTAACCAATATTCAGTTGAGGCATTCCCGAAACCATGACGATATTCCGCCCAGTTCCTGGAGAACGACACAGATCCATCAATCCGCTTTTGAAAAACCTGCAAAAAATTTTATATTTACTGTATGATATTCTCTGTACATTTATGTGTAAACTATAAAGTATTTTAGTCTTGACTCCAAATAACATTTTTGCTGTATTTAGCAAAACGGCAGCAATGCTTCTTTTCTAACTATGTTGGAAAATTTTGTCAAACGTTTAATTGCAAATGAAATAAGTGGAAAAATTTAACAGTGATTGATCTTTGAAAAAACCTACGAACAACACAATTTAAAAAAAAAAAAATAATTTGCAAAAAATATTAAGACTTTTGATTGAAGGATACAACCTCAGCATTTATTGATATCTTACATAAGTAGATGCCGCGCAATCATAAATGTTCAAAATATATCAGCTTAGCTTAAATCACCCATCAATGATTAAGCTGTCTGTAACCTTTTATTATCTTTACATGTTACTGTAGAAAATAAATCAATTTTATACAAACAAAATTAATATTTGGAAATAGTGAAAATTTACATACCGTCCACCCGCCTCCCATGGTGTACATATCACACAGAACTTCTTTGTAGGTTTCATTTCTCCATGGATAAATCCTGTAGATAACCGTTATCCTACTCCCCTTCTCCATAATTTCCAAACAGTCAACAAGTAATGCTAAAGTGTTACCATAAAACATCGTTATAAATGTACAGTAAAACACGCTTATAACGAAGTTCTAGGGAAGGGCGATTTTATTTCTTCATAAACGTATTTGATATGTGCTTAAAACCCACAGTGAATGAAAATCACGTCGCTAATAGCGTCAATTCATTATAAGCGTGTTCGCTATGAGCTACTTTACTAAACAAACATTAAATAACACACACACACACACACACACACACACACACACACACACATATATATATATATGAGTAATAATGAACACTGATTTTAGTGCACAGGAACCAAGATACCCATCCAACCAGTTTTCATAATTTTCCGCCATTGCAGTCAAAGAATTTTCGCATATTATGTTACCATGCGTTTCTTTTTCCTTTCAGTATACATATATACATACATATTCTTCTCAGATGTTGAGGCTAGTCGTGGTGATCGTTCAAAATACTTTTTCATGTTAAAAAGATATCTACGATTAACATGATTCATGTTTAATCGTAAACGTTGCATAAGATTGTATTGAATCATGGCTACTTATGGTCAATACGGATCAGGACAGCTTGGAGCGGGTAATGGTCAAATTTTTTTTTTTAACCCATCAAAATCTTTCTACAATCAACACGATCTCAGTCACATTCTTAACAGCCCAGATCAGTGTTTTGTCGATGAACTTCATCCATCCCTCCTGAGTTGCCTTTTGACTAAGGTCTAACAGTCTAAACTTCTCTTTTACATTTTATAGAGATGTGTCGGATATTCCGCTGGTTTACTACATGTTTCATTAGGATTATTTTTGGTCTCTATTGGCTTTTCCAAGCATGATTCATGATTTGATAAAAGTGCGCTGCTCCGTCAAATCACGAGACGTCATTTTTGTCGTTGATTTCGTAGGGGTTACATCGGAAAAAATTACATTATTTCTGTTAGTACTTCAAATATTACGCCTGAAATCTAAATACTTAATAATAAAACAATAAAAAGAAATTTTAGAGAAAATTGATGAATAATATCGTGAAATATGGAAAATAAATGAATAAAATTTTGCATACCGCATGTTTGTTTTTCAACATTTTTCCCGTGCTCCGTATATCACCATCAGCAGTATCAAAACGGCAATAATTTTATGAGATATTAAATAAAATCAAAAAATTGTACCAAGAATTTATTGGAATTTTTAAGAAATATGTTCCTGTGAAATTTCAATTCTATATGACGTCTATAAGAGTAAATGATAGCAGAGTCCGCATAATTTTTGAACGGCCCTCGTATTATTATTTTTTTTTTCATTTACTGATTCACCCAGGCATAACCAACCACAATTGATTTCCTAAAATTTGAAAACAAAGCAGATAAACACTATTCTTGATGCAAGAACACTTTTTCATAGATGGAAGTGGACAACTTAGAATTTTGTATCTTTTACTAGGTAAATGATCATCTCTACCTGTATTCGTTTGGATGCAATTATATTGTCTTTTAATTACAACATCTTCCGACTCAAGCTATTTTGCCCCGAAGCATGGTTGGAGTATTAACAAACACAACTCATGACAAAAGAATAGACTCTATTTCAAAAAGAGGGAGATTTTGGACAAAAAGACAGAGCAAAATTAAATTTAAACATGAGGCACAGATTGTAAAGTCTTTCTTTACACCTTTGCACGTTTAAAAATGATATTGAAATTCGAAACATCAGTAAGTTACAAATACATGTACGGTTGTTCTAGCCGAATGAAATTATAAGTTGCGAATTAAGGCATAAAAAACCCTGTTACAAATAGTGTTCTCAATTATTCATCATGCTAAGTTTACTCATGAAGATCACATGTTATTAACTTAAAATTACAAGATTTTAATAAGTGATTTCGACTCTTGCCTTCTTTGCAGAAATCTCCACCCCATCCTTGGAAGCAGCCTTTCGGACACGTGCCAGTAACGAAATCACATGCTTTGCCATCACTACAATGTCCACAAGTTTCACTGCATCTCTCTCCAAACTTTCCGGAGGGACATTCTTTTGAGAAAAAAATAGTCATTTGATATGTGTAATAAGCTCCATAAAAATAAAGGTCTATTAATATATCATTGTTACAACGCGAAATGTAATAACAATGCAAAATGTAATAAACTGGGATTATTATATTTTGCGTTGTTACATTTTGCGTCGAGATCAACGCAGAATGTAATAGCGCCAAATGTAACAACACTATATTTGGATTATTATATTTTGCGTTATTACATTTTGCGTTTTGATTAAAGCAAAATGTAATAAGGCTCTTTTTGGTTGTTACATTTTGTGTTACTTAATTTTTGCGTTGAGGACAACGCAAAATGTATTAAAACTAAATGTAATAAAACAAAATATAATATTTTTTCTATTGTGTTCAACGCTAAACATCATAAAATTTATTTAAACATAACATTACAATGGGGAAACTCGCTTTACTAAATAGACAGACAGCCTATGAGGTACAGCTTTTACGGACATTACTTAATTTAATTGTAAATTCTTTCTAACTCTGTTTCTGAATACATATAAAACATTAACTTAACTTTGATTGACATGTCTATTTATAAATCAGTCTGTATTATATATCCATCACTGACATTCTTAATTACCAAGGATTAACCATGAGTCCATTAAAAGCTCTTGATATGCATGAACTCCGTGCATGTGTACACTGGTAAGCAAACTAGGAGTGTATGTGTGTGTTTGGCAACGAGAAGCGGGGATGGGGGTTAATTCGTTTGTTGATCATTGTATTTTTATGCACATGCAAAAACTATCTATTTTATTATTGGAGAGAGAGAGAGAGAGAGAGAGAGAGAGAGAGAGAGAGAGAGTTTAGCTGGTCTGTAATGCACGTGATTTGTAAAACAGTATGAAATCTTGATTGTCAAATAACCATCTTCCCGCTATATTTACACCCGCCAGTAAAAGTAAATAGATTTATTTTCTAAATTTCATGCACATGCCTTTCAAAAAGCAAAAGCAATCTAATACACTGATAAACGAAACCCCCCAATACACACACACACACACACACACACACACACACACACACACACACACACACACATCCTTCCTTATGCATACACACACACGTGCACACGCACTTTTTTAATTTGCAACACCTATGACTTGAATATCAACTGATTATAAAGGGATTATGAAATCGATATATGATGAAATCGGATCAATAGTAAGAATTAGCATGTATTTATTATTCATTTTCTTTGTATTTTCTTTCCGTTTATTTTCTTTATCAACTATTCAGTTGAAAATTTTGCGTTGTTGCATTTTTGCTTTATCTCGACGCAAAATGTAAGAACAAAATGTAATAATCCCAAAATCGTATTATTATATTTTGCATTGATCTTGACACAAAATGTAATGATCCTAAAAAGTCTGTTTTTACATTATGCGTTATTACATTCTGCGTCGATAACGACGCAAAATGTAATAACCAAAATGCAATAATCCCGATTTATAACATTTTGCGTTGTTATTAAATTTCGCGTTGTAACATATCATATTTAATTAATATTGTGTTACAGAAATATTTTCATTAGAATGTTCCGTGTCAAAAGAACGATTGGTTCGCATGGATTATGATAGGAAACTCCTTTATACAAAGCAACAAAGGGAAATCAATTTTTAACGGCCCTTTAGAAATTGCTAAAATGTCGCGCATTATCTGTAAATGTACGAATGTAGAGGATGTCTTTATATATAAATTAGTAATTTTTGTTAACTTGAAGTAAAATACCAAGAATGTCTCATAGTCGTGGTAAATTAAACTCCTGGAAAAAATTGTTATTCGCAAGATGTAATTATCTAACAACAAATTGTATTCACGTTACATCTTACGTTCAGTACATATTACTCCAGTCCACCCATTTGAACAGCCAAATCTACAAGTACCATACACAAAATCACATGGCAAATCATCTTTGCAGTGTCCACAGTCAAGGCTGCAATTTCTTCCAAACTTTCCTGGAGTACACGCTTAAAAAGGAAAATAATAATTAACACTTGTATGCAAGGCACTGAATTTAACAGTGCCTACGTCAAACTAAAGTTTAAGTTCACCAACAAATTTACCCATAGCTTGCAAACTATGATAATGAAGGTGAATGAAGTTTAAGGCTTTAAAAAATATTTTTTCACTATCCATTATTTTAAGGTATTGCAGCAAAAACTGATTATAATTATATATTGATGTATACATTCAAGGGCTGTCCATAAAATTCGTGGACAATGAATATTTTTTGGCAAAATGAATGGTCCTAGATATACTTTTTGAATCCATAATACTTATTAGGAAAATCCAAATTAGAATTGTTTGGTTTTGGCTGTTTGAACTTAACATTTTTGTAAAATTCTCAGTCTTTAACGGTTGCAGATTGTGCCTAACGCCCTGGGTTAAAATACCATGACCTTTGAAATAAAGCTTTCAGATTAAAATGATTATCTTCTTCATAAAACACTTTATAAAAATCAAATGTGTTTCAAATAAAGCGGCTCTCGTCATTTTCTGATATCTCTAGAATCGCTTATTGGATATATAGTGAAAATATTTATATCATACCGACAGGGCCATTTTATGGTGTTAGTGAACCTAGCTCTTTAATTTTAAATTAAGTTAGTAATGCTTGATTAAAGGAATTCGATTCTTCAAAAATGTATTAATTTTTGTACAATTATGTGGATATAAACGTCAACTTTTTACAAGACTGTTTCTAAGACTACAAATAAACTTGTACATATTGAGATGCTTAAATGAAAATTGTTGCACGGAAAGATTTCAATTTTAAGCTTTTTTAAAGACTTTTAAAATTAAATAATAGTTTTATGAGTTAAAATTCCAGGCTGAGGAGGGATATCCTTAACAAATTCAGGTATGTCATCAAGAATTTTATTTATTAGTGTCTTTTTGGGCATCTCTATAGATGGGCTTGCTGAGATTTTCAGGTCATGGGAGCGCAGACTTACGACATGTGTAAAGGTAAACT